CTTTTGGTCATTCAGTCAGCTTGACCATTTCAACACAGTTTTGTGAACTACTGGACGAGGATTTCACTAGAGTAAATTGCACGATTTCGTGGAAAAAGAATTCGCGCCGTTTCATACAATGCGATAGGCCTTAGAAGTATTCATTATCAAAGTTGTACAAATCAGACCTGCGCTGAAATTCTGATCACATCTTGAATAAACTTTAAAGCGCCTGCCTTCTCAGCAAAAAAGAGAAGTGTCGCAACTAAAATGATTCTAAAACTGAAATGATTCGATTTTTTACCCCCACACATAGGAAAATCTAACTGTTCAAATGTAGCTGGAAGGTGCAACTTTCGAGCGGAAAGTGTGAATAGTGACGGCAACAAGAACATTGCAATTGTTCATGACTTTGTGATGAACTGATCCAGAACTGGAAAGATGTGAGCGCGAGCCAAAACAAAAAAGTGCGTACAATGGTGCGGACACGAGCACTTCTTCATATGTGTTCTATACGGAATGTGGCGACTTGTTCACAGTTTACTCATGCTACCACTATTCATTAAAAGTTTTGCCTAGTTTTGACTAAGCGACTAATACGGGAAGACAAAAATGTCGTCTGCGAAGAAGATTTATCAAAAATCTTGGAAAAGTTTTGATGAAGTTCATTAAACTGTAATGCAGTATCAGCAATTATGGACACTATTAAAGAACAATCACGGTTCAACATAACCTTTTAGCAGAGGTTAAGGTCAGGTAAAGAAAACTATTTATGAGAAAAAGGCGCGGGTATCGCCGTGGTTAGAGCTGTCATGCAATACACTCATTGTCTCTGGTTCAACACCGAAACAGGGCCAACCAAGTCCTGCATTCCTTTATAGTCGGCAAATCGGTGCCAGACTTGACTGAAAAAGGCTCTGTAATATTCCAAATTTCGGAGACCACCTTTGGGAAGCATATGGAAACACTCTAGCAATGGTATTTCAGGATTCCAGAAAGAGCCAATTCGACGAATATTCAACGTCATTTATGAATGAGGCAGAGTTCTAAAGTGGTAACCAGACCCGTGCGAAAATCTTATGACCACCGTCTGCGTCGAACGAGAGATAACGAACCACACCAATTAACTGTTTGAATTTTCGCATAATATGTGAACTACGTTTTCAAAAAAATAAATAAAAGGATAAAGGGATAAAGCTCTCGGCGTTGATCAATCTCATAGGGATGCGCGATGCATTCGGCTTCACTAAGCATCGTTAGGAGATAATTGAATGCATATCTGGCCTTTACAATGACTTGCGGTGGCCTACCGATATATCGAGCCAGTGCTGCTATCCTCCCAGACAAGTCTGGTAACAATTTACTGACCCCGGAGGGATGAAAGGCTTGGTGGGCCATGGGCGCGGGGAACGATTCCACGTTTGTGTTGCAGGGTGCCTCCGACCACTGCGTGTCAAGCCTTTCAGGAATACGATTATTTAGTACACTGTGGTAGGTTTTGGTACAGTGGTAACCGAACAGCATTCAACAAATAAACACGTATGCGCCTACATATAATTTTTTATGGTGGACGTTTCGGGCTACTCTCAATTTTTCGCCGCATGCTCTTAGTATTGAAGCAAATACATGCATTGTTCTTTCTATGGGCAAATACGAGGTCGTTACTTCATTTTCTATTTGTAAAGAAGCTGAGGTTTAAGCGCATTTCGCTTTCCTCAGAGCTTGGAAAGGCCAAGTCGACTGCAATCTACCCAGTCAAACCTCTCCATAACCAAACACAGAAAACACTAAACGAAAATTTCAATCACACCGAACACAAAATAGCTTTTTTGCCTATTCACAGCTTTCTTTGAGTCTTCCAATGAGTGCGTCACGTGGAGACCAAGCGCTCAGAGTTCACATGCATGGAAGTGTAAAGTGCTCCTCACCTTAAAATATCAGTTCCAGAAATTACTTAAATTAAGTTCCAGAAAGATTACTGTGTGAGGTCACACATGATCAGAAGACATTTCTTCTCGCAGTTCGTTTTCGGATTCTCGAAATGTATTCAGAATTCTTCAAGAGTTTCCCGCTCTTGTGTTCTCCATTCCCGTGAGAGAACGATAACTTTTACTTCGAAATCTTCCTCCTTATATCTCTGTATCTTACGCGCAATTAGGGGAGGAGAACTTGGTTCAACTTTAAGTAACTGTTCCTTATACGAACGCGGAGTGGGCTACCCGTTTTAAGAACGCATATTTCCCTTAATGATCAGGAAACACCCGCCCAAGCTTATTCACTCTCTCCACCGTAAGAGCCAGAGTGTTTTAGAATTAGACTTAGATATTCTGACCCCTGTTGCTGATTTCTCTATAGCGGTTTCTTAAAGCAGCCTTCTATAACCGCAGTCATTTCGCAATGCAGTCACTTTTTTATTTACCACCTATTCTTTTCATGGTAGGGCATGATCTGAAATATACCCAAAATAGTGCTGAAACATTTGCAAAACGCAGACCCCAGGCTCCAGCAAGTGTGTAGACATAAAAATCTAAGGTAGATTGAAGCCCCAGTAACCGACATCCTCTATTGTAGATATACAAATGATTACTTTCATTTGCTCAAAACAAGAGAAAATAGCAGTGTTTTGAGTAACTGAATGAACACAGCAAGGATGAATGCCTCATGATCATGCGTGACTTCACACAGTATTTAGTACTGTTATTTTAATGTGAAAGTAACGTCACACTTCCATGTGAACTCCGCGCGGTTGGTTTCCACTTGGAATACTCAGTGGAGGACTCTTAGAAAGCTGTGAGTATGCGAAGAAGTTATTTAGTTCTCAATGTGATTGAAATGTTGGTTCAGTACTTTCTGTGTTTAGTTATGGAGGTGTTTGACTGGGTAGATTGCAGTCTAGTTGACCATACCATGCTTTGAATAAAGCGAAATCCGCTGAAACATCAGGTTGTTTATAAACAAAAGATAAAGTTCCCAGGATATTAACCTCGGCATTGGAATATGAATGTGTCGTTTTCTGTTCAGCAATCGCGAGGTTTTTAAACAGCATACTTTTACTTCCATAGAGAAAAACAACACAATACAACGCCAGCTGACGTTTCGGCAGTATCGCCTTGTTCAGACCCTGGAAGGGTATACTGATATACAATCTACTAGGCCAAACGCTTCAACAACACAAAAAGACGAAAAACTCCTTGGTAATTACATGATCAACAGCTTCTCGAAAAACTCACCGCTTTTTATGTGACATCCAATGGAGAAGACTACAACAGCTGATTATAGTCGCATATGGTTGACGACTGCACCATCCCACATCAAAAATCGATGCGAACATACGGGATCAGGTCGCGTATGACCTCCAGGCATACATCCCTGCTATTCAGTGTAGGGTTTTTGGCATTGATCCAAAAAGCCTCAAGGGGTTGTCGCGCCGGTGTTTTGGACTCCTGTGCAAGGATATTGACTTTTACTTCAAAATCGTCTCCGCTGTGCTTTTGTATCCTATGCGTGCCTAGTGGGGTGCTTCGTCTTAGTTTTCGTTTGCCATCTAGGTGTTCTTTCATACGGATACACAAAGGTCTGCCCGTTTCGCCAATATATTCATCTCCGCAATTATTGCAAGAGATCGGGTATATCGTACCTGAACTCATGCAATCACCGTCCCTGCCGTAAGGGCAAATTACGCAGTTTGTTGTTTCACATAGACGGCCATACAAGCGGTTACGAACTAATTGACGACGTAGAGTAGCCGGTGGTATTTCAACTATCGCTACCCATTCCTCTAGACTTGCTCTTCTTAAGCATCGTTTTATAGCTACGCTTACTTCATCGCTTATAAAAGGAAACATAAACGGGACTTTCTTTTGGCCAAGTGTTTCGCGTGGGCGCGTCGCTCTTCTTCTAAACGCAGGTGTATGCGGTCCGGAGTTTTGCAAATATCTCAGCATTATATACGAGTTATATTTCGCAACATACCCTGCCATTAAAGAAAAAAAGACAGTAAATGAAAGGGTTAAGATTGTATTTATGGATAGCTGAGGTAACGATGGAAAGCAGCCAAATTCGAGCAACTTCCTAGACAGACCCAAAATACATTATGAGTCTTTTTTATCAATGCATCAATAAATATGAAGCACCTAAACAGTAATTCTGGAAGAAATCACTGGGAAGCCTCTGCAGCAGTGCGGTCAGAACACGGTCAAAAAGGGTAAAGAGTTCACGTTTACAACCGGCACAGATCAGTGTGTCAGGATGATTCTCCTTGAACGTTCAGGCTACACTACATGCCTCCTAACCAGTGCTGCACCACTTGAATTCATTAGTATATTACCAAAACACCTTCAAAAATGTGAAAACATAACCTTTATTTTAATACAGATCGACAATCGTTTTAAATTAACCTACAAATAGGAAATTTTGAGAGGAAAAGCTGACACAAAAGAAGGTTTTCCGCGCTATCCAAACACATACCTGAGCACCAGTAATGGGAAGTGGTCAACGACTAGTTTTAGGTTGAGCAGACAAACTTTTATTGAGTAGCAACCATTATGACCGAAGATATCTTCTTTTAAGAAAAACAAAGTAGTTCACAACGGTATTGCTTAAAGTGACTATTGAGGATCCGCCAAAAGCTTATAAAAACTTCGACGGCAGTTTTCCTTTTTTGAAGACTTTTTCCTTGTAAAGAATAAAGCGTGATGTTCTCGTGCAAGAACTTTTACTGGTCAGCATTATAAGTATCAATCAATCCTCCTGGATTCGAAGGCAGTTTTCGATTCTGCGGCTTGAGCTCCTCAATGACACTAAATGGAGTTTTTCATAAAATTTTACATAAATAAATTGATTTGCATTTTGCAAAAAATTTATGCTGAGTCAAGATTCCAGAGGATCAACTGTAACAACGTAGCTGTCTAATGTTCATTTATTCCGGTTTAATCAATGAAGAGGAACTACAATGCACATTTGGCTACATAATACAGTAAAGAAACAGAACGGTTAAGTAAAATCCTCTATAGAAAACTATTTTACTCTTTCTGCAACTGATAAGACTCTTGTGTGCTTCTAGCAGGCAATGGAGCATCGGTATAAGTTAACAGTTTTTGACTTGTTCGTCGAATAATAACTTGCACACAATTCCTTACTCGATTAGTAAAACCAATGAAAACGAAAGCATTCACGGATGCAGACGTCATTGAGAACAGATACGCTACATAGGAGTGGAAATAGTCTGATCTGAAAGCAAACTCATGTTCATATGGCCGCATGATCAAATTGTGGGAAAACATACCTAGTGGGACATTGCCGTTTTATTAGCAGTTGCCACTTTCGCGCAATGAGGTATAATCTAAGCGTGTGCAACAATAAATATAGCACAATTACTGAAACTATCGAAACCGTAGCACGCAACTTTTGCCGCTGTCGATTTAGGTCTGTTTTTTCGAGAAGACGTTTGGTAAGATGACTGCTGAAATTTTAAAAGTTCTCGATGACGGCATGGTTTCGAGCATTCACGTTGATGAGAATACTTGAGTGAAACGAAAGGGGGTAAGAAATTTGTGAACGTAGACGATTTATGGGGAAAAGGTTCTTTGCTAGAAAAAAACAACGAGATAGTGCAATGAAACACTGCGCAAGCAACTCTCTATCATCTGGCACTGCTGTATCATTCGGGCATTTTCTAGAAAGAAGTGTTTTTTCAAAGTTTCGAAAAAGTCAATGCATCAGTAGCGAAGGATTCATTTAAACACTTGACAATTTTGATAGCCGAAAATGAAATAAATGAACTGCACTCATATCAAGTTTGATTTCATTAGGTTTGTGTCAACGGGTTAAACGAGTACTCGAAGTATTTGTCTATTTATCGTCGAAGTCGGGTGGTCTCAATGAAAGCGCTGTATGTGTTTATCTCGCTGAACTGAGTTTTACCTTTTGCAAACAGGTACATGTATTTTTGGGTGGGAGACTAGACCCTCGACATAAGTCGACACCTTGTAAGTCAGACAAACTATCCATGAGTAAATAAAGAGTTCCTCAGAGAAAGCATATTCTTTGCACTTTTTGAGCGAGCAAGCCTAGTGGTCGGATGTTTAATACGGAAGGGATGAATGCCGGGTTAACTGGTAAACTCTGAACCTATTCGGTAATTGGTGAGATTGTTACTATTCTGTAAAGTGTTTGCTAGGCTGAAGTAAACCGTTAACATCTTTGAAACTCACGAGCATTCCAGTGCACTCGTAGAAAATGAGGTAGTAACTTTTCAAGTAGTAGAAGAGAAACAGTGTGTCATTATAATTATGACTAATTCAGTAAATTAGGAAGTGGTATGATAAAGTCTGCTCATATATATATATCCATATATGTATATATACATATAGTTCCCAGGATCGACTTTCTCTTAACCTCGGCATTGGAATATGAATGTGTCGTTTTCTTGTTCAGCAATCGCGAGGTTTTTAAACAGCATACATTCACTTCCATAAAAACACAATAGAATACAACGCTAGCTGACGTTTCGGCAGTATCGCCTTCTTCAGAGCCGCTTTTTCGTGACTTCCAATGAGGAAGTTTAGAACAGCTGATTATAGTCGCATGTGGTTGACGACTCACATATACATATATATATTAGAAAACCACCGGCACTGCTAGCAGCTAGTTACAGTTCTAATATCAGAACTAATCACGTGATGCTCAAATTCGTTAACCCAGCTTTCAATAGCGGCAAATAGCCACATCTACTTTCAAACACCCATATATGGCCAACCATTTCGTCATGGCGAGGGTTGTGTTAGTGGGTTTTTGACCATGATACACGGGTACTCCTAGATGGTGTCATCCAAGACAAAAGGCTCGATATTTCTACTCGCGAGTTCAGCAAAGAACAAACAAAAGTCAATAGTAGTTTCTGTACTCGAAAAAAAATTAGCAAGTCGCAAAGTGAGGAACTTACCCCCAACAGAAAGAGCTGAGCGTAATGACTGTTTTTTATGAAATTAAGAACTAACTTCGGATTCAAATTACAATCTGTCACAAAACAGCAAAACACTGTATTTGTACATATGAAGCAATTTCTAAAAAGATTTAATAATGGAGAGAGAGAATAATTACTCACTTTATTCCAGTCTCCTTAGAGAAGAGATTGCCTAATTTCTGGTATTCCAAATGGCGGCTTCGAAATATTTCAGATAGAGTCATTAATGAAAACAAACTCATCCATATAAATGGTAAGATATTATCCAACAGTGGGTCAAGTATAGAATGGTAAACAAACCTATATGGAGAAAGAATCTGAAAAAACCTATATATGTGCATGTATATACATATTTATATGTGTATATATATATATATATGTGAATATATTGTCGATTTGGGCTCCTTAGATCAATCCCGTTGAGAGCTGATTGCTGATGGCGCTGATCGATCGATAGAACTACCTGAGAGGGAGGCGAAACGAAGGGCCCGCATGATATGGTGGTGGACGCGTTAACCTCCGGAAAGGGTAATAGCGCGTTCGTTCCCCACCGCAAACACCTGCGCTCCGGAGTTTTCCAAACACTGCAGCATCACTGTGGTTATATGAATATAGTATATGTGTATAATGCACATATACACTTACTTAAATAGCGCAGATTATCTATATATACACATAGGTGCACTTAGATGTCTGAGATTATAAGCATTTGAAATACCATTGTACCTAAATAAAAATCTCGTTGTTTGCACTTTTTATACAAGCCTTCGTTCATTGCCTCTGTTTTATTACATCGCGATTATTTATTGAAGAGATGAAATCAACTCCAAAGTTCGTTGACAATTTAATGCAGTGCTGAGTTGGTGCCTACTCATTAAAAATACCGACATGAGCTTCTAGAACGTCAGAGCTTCCCAAAAACACTTGAGCCTGCCAGTGATGTGTCCTATGAAATGAGAACGCCTTACCTCACAAACTAGTTGATGCTTTTTTAAAGATGTCAAGTTAACTAGTAAACCATTACGCCTTTATTAATGTTAACTTTCAGCATATAAAAAGCAATAATTTCTTATTACGTAATGCTTCTTTGCTAAATCTGAAGAGAAACTCAGAGAAAAATGTTTTATCGACTTCCCATTGTTTTATTTACCTCGGTCGTGTCAATTCTCTTAGTGATGAGAAGGATTGGCCTCCAACTGGTTTGTAGCTCAAATAAAAATGTTGGAAGACGAAATAAAAGCGCTGCAACGAACATAAGCAACAGCACGCAGTGAGCTTTCGAAGTTGTGTCCTTCATTCGAGCAGCAACTGGTCGAGACACCTGCAAAGATGAGTAGAACTGGGACACTGTGATATTGAGAAGACGCTTTTATTCGTAGTGGTCGAATCGTTTTCCAAAATTCTGTATAAGCTGGATGAGTTGTAACTCCCAAGTCCGACTTTCTATTAACCTCGGCATTGATTTAATAATTCTCTCTACTTCTGTTAAGCAAACACGAGGTGTTATTTTATTTCTTTATTTACGCACAAGCCGACGTTTTGGTGGATTTCGCCTTCCTCAGAGCCTGGAAAAGTCAAGTTGACAGCAATCTATTCGGCCAAACACCTCCATAACCAAACAGAGAAAACGCTAAACTAAGATTTCAATCACATTTAACACAGCTCCGCACACTCACCGCTTTCTATGGGTCTTCCACTGAGTATGTCGCGTGACCAACCGCACAGAATTCACATGGAAGCGTAATGTGCCTCCCCCATCAGAATAACAGGTTTATATACTGTCCAATAACACGCGTGATAATGAGGCATTCTTCCCTGTGGTTTATTTTCGGATTTCTGGAATTAATCCAGAATGCCTCTAGAGTTTTGCACGCTTGTGTTCTCGATTCTGGCGCGAGGGTCGTAACCCCTACTTCAAAATCTTCTCCGTTATATCTCTGCGTCCCATGCGTGCCTAGTGGAGTATTTGGTTTACGTTTGCCGACTAGGTGTTCTTTTATACGGGCCCAGAGTGGCCTACCCGCTTCGCCAACGTATGCGTCCCCACACGCTTTACAAGTGATCAGATAGACTGTACCCGAACTCACGTAGTCACCGTCTCTACCATTGGGGCAAATTATGCAATTTTGCGTTGCACATAGACGGTCATTTAGGCGGTTACGAACTAGCTTGCGCCTAACATTAGTCGGTGGTATTTCAACTACGCTTATCGATTTCTCTAGACCCGCCCTTCTTAAGCAGCGTTTTACAGCTGCACTTACATCATTTGAGATGAAGGGTAGGATAAACGGGATCTTTTTATCGGTAGAGTTGTCGTTTGGGGGCCTCCAATTTCCCCTACACCCTCCCGAGCTAGGGTTTCGTAGCCATTAGAAATGGCTATTTGCCGCGCCAAGCTCAAGGACTTCTCTCTCTGCTGTCTTCCTGTGCACACACTGGTAGCTGTTCGATACATGTTTCTCACAAGCGCCCTTTTCGTGTGAGAGGGGTGAGAGGAGAGGTAATGAACCGGGATGTTTTTACTACATGGCTTTCGATACCACTTCGTAATGTAGCCGTTTTCTGATAGGCTAATTTGCACGTTCAGAAATGGAAGCCAGTTTTCTTTTGGTTTCTCTCGGGTGAATTTAATATACTCTGATTGTTTATTCAACAATTCGAAACATTTGTTCATTTCCACTTATGTTAAGCAAAGGATAAAGCAGTCATCTATATATCTACAATAGAGTAGCGGCCCGAGATCAATCACCGGAGCTTCCACCTTAGGCATAAACGCAATGGCAAGACTTGGCGCCAGTCGCTGTCCCATTGCCAACCTTCTTATTTGAGCGTAGTACTTTCCGGGCCATCTGAAGGTTGAGCCGCTCAAGCATTTTTTTAAGAGTGCCATCAACTGCTCTACCTTGAAGCCATACATGTTTATTTCTCCTTCGTGTTGTATAAGGAGTTTGCACATGGCTTGCATTGCGGAGTCATTCGACACGTTTGTATAAAGGGCGGTAACGTCGAAGGACTCCATCACGTACGCGCTGCTGGGCTGCGGAGTACGTAGACGATCCAGAAACATTTGGGCATTCGTAGGATGGGCTAGAATGTATTTCAACAACTGGTTAAATATTAGGGTTAAAAACCATGTTATCCTATCCGTTGGCCCGTCTACGCAGCTAATGACACCTTAAATACTGATGGATCGGTAGACGCAAGATCATCGCTGGATACTAACTTATGAGTTTTTATAAGCAAGTACGGAGTTTTTTATGGATGTGTTGTTATTCTGTTCAACCCAATCTTCATGGTTCTGTTCACTACGTTATCGAGGTGCTTTAACAGTGCACTCAAAGCATTTCTAGTCCATTTTCATTGAGTTGGTTCTCTTAAACGTTTACCTGGATGGAAGGAAACACTAGTGATGCAAATATTTGATGTACACATAGACGTTTCTAATACTGAAGACACATGAATTCCGGAATTTGATTTCTGGCGCTTGCGCTCAGATCAACATTCCTCTTATTAATCACCTAGTAAGACATTAATAGCTTTGCAGGGAGTTTACCTTCCAGTAACGATGAGCAGACAGTGCAGCAATTGTCCAGACATGAATTGTGTTCACTGTCGCCTCGATCCTGAACAAAATAATCCACGTAGTTAAACTAGTAAACGCCACCATGGAAACCCAAGGCGAATAGAAATTCGCTAACCTCGGCATTGCATGTTTGAGAAATCGCCTCTCAAACATGCAGAATCCATAAAGTGTATGATTGCCAGAATGATGGAGATCGCAAACTTGTGGCATGAAAACAGTAGCAACCGTAGTGAACAGTTGAGCATGGTCCATAATCAGCAACGCTTTCAGATACACAGAAACACCTGACGTTATCCTAGGTGGTCGGTAGAGAAACGCCTAAAATACTCGCTTGTAAACAGTAACCACTAAAATAACCTCGCTTTTCGTTTACGTAACATTTAAGTTCTTGAGCATATTTATTTATTATAACAGATCAAATGCATTTCTTAGCCGACGTAAATGTGTTACGTAGCGTCCTCAGAAGATCCTATCACCACCTAGTTAACCTGGATTCATTTTTGGGGTGGAAAAGTGAGATGCAGCAAAACCTAAAAAGTAAGGGTCAACAAAATATCGTAAACCAGAATTTGTTTATCTTTAGTCTATTAAGGGTAAGATTAAGCTATCAACAACATCGACGAAGAATACGATCTATTTGTTTATCTCACTGCTCATTATTGTACTGTTTTAGTATCTATTTTATCTACGAGCAGTCATAGTATATTAAATTCACCCGAGAGAAACCAAAAGAAAACTGGCTTCCATTTCTGAACGTGCAAATTAGCCTATCAGAAAACGGCTACATTACGAAGTGGTATCGAAAGCCAAGTAGTAAAAACATCCCGGTTCATTACCTCTCTTCTCACCCCTCTCACACGAAAAGGGCGCTTGTGAGAAAGGGCGCTGTATCGAACAGCTACCAGTGTGTGCACAGGAAGACAGCAGAGAGAGAAGTCCCTGAACTTGGCGCGGCAAATAGCCATTTCTAATGGCTACGAAACCGTAGCTCGGGAGGGTGTAGGGAAAATTGGAGGCCCCCAAACGACAACTCTACCGATAAAATGGTCCCGTTTATCTTACCCTTCATCTCAAATGATATAAGTGCAGCTGTAAAACGCTGCTTAAGAAGGGCGGGTCTAGAGAATTCGATAAGCGTAGTTGAAATACCACCGACTAATGTTAGGCGCAAGCTAGTTCGTAACCGCCTATATAACCGTCTATGTGCAACGCAAAATTGCATAATTTGCCCCAATGGTAGAGACGGTGACTACGTGAGTTCGGGTACAGTCTATCTGATCACTTGTAAAGCGTGCGGGGACGCATACGTTGGCGAAACGGGTAGACCACTCTGGGCCCGTATAAAAGAACACCTAGTCGGCAAACGTAAACCAAATACCCCACTAGGCACGCATGGGACGCAGAGATATAACGGAGAAGATTTTGAAGTAGGGGTTACGACCCTCGCGCCAGAATCGAGAACACAAGCGTGCAAAACTCTAGAGGCATTCTGGATTAATTCCAGAAATCCGAAAATAAACCACAAGGAAGAATGCCTCATTATCGCGCGTGTTATTGGACAGTATATAAGCCTGTTATTTTGATGAGATGGGCACAGTACGATTCCGTGTGAAATCTGTGCGGTTGGTCTCCACGTGACATATTTAGTGGAAGACTCATAGAAAGCGGTGAGTGTGCAAAGACTCTGTGTTTAGTGCGATTGAAATTTTGGTTCAGCATTTTCTCTGTTTAGTTACGGAGGTGTTTGGCCGTGTGGATTGTAGTCAACTTGACCTTTCCAGGCTCTGAGAAAGGCGAAATCCGCCGAAACGTCAACTTATTCGTGAATGAAGAAATAAAGTAACACCTCGTGTTTGCTTAATAGAAGTAGAAAGTATCTATTTTGGTTTACTCATTATCTTGATGAAGATGAAAAAATAGAGAGTACGAGAATAAGCAAAAAAAAGCTTCTCTCCAGGAACTATCATTGTGATACGTTAACGTGACATTTCTTAAGCTTTGTGTAAAACACCTTCGAACGTATAAAGGTATGTACAAAATCGGCAAAAAGGAGAAAAAAAGGAAAGAAGAAAAACGGTATTAGTGGCTAAAATTCCGAGTATAGGAAGAGTATTTGCAACACCAATTGGAAATCGGCCAGTTACGAAACAAAAATTACTGTTTTACAACTACAAGATTTATCGCATCTAGGAGAGCAATGTAGTGGGACAACCATGATTCCTTGGCCGATTCTCTGATTTCTTGGCCCAACCACATTAATATGCCTGATCTTCTCACCGATTAGGTGGACATCAAGCATTACTTTATATGAATTCCGACATGCTTTCTCAGTGATAAAAAGGTGTGCAGGACCTCGCCTCGATAGTATCATACCTACACGTCTGAAAATAACGAATCCACATTCATTATACTCTCGTTGAGCAAACACGAGGTATTACTTTATTCTCTATTGACGAAAAGCTGACGTTTCGGTGGGCCTCGCCTTCCTCACAGCCTGGAAAGGTCAAGTTGACCGCAATCTATCCAGCCAAACACTTCCATAACCAAATAGAGAAAGTGTTTGAGCAAAATTTCAATCACACTGAATAGAGAATAGCTTCTTTGCACACTCACTGTTTTCTATGAGCCTTTCACTGAATATGTCACTTGGAGACTAACCGCACAGAATTCACATGGAAGCGTAGTGTGCCTCTCAGCTAGAATAACGGTCTTAAGCACCGTCCGAAATCATGCGTGATTATGACGCATTCCTGCTCGAGGTTCATTCTCGAATTCTTTGAATATATCCGGAATACACCGACAGTTTTGCGCGCTTGTGTTTTCGATTCCGTGTGAGGATCGTAACTTCTACTTCAAAGTCTTTCCCATTATATCTCCATGTCCCATGCACAAATATTGGAGTGTTTGGTTTAACCATATTTACCGACTTGATGCTCTTTCACACGAAAGCAGAGTGTTCTAGCAATTTCGCCAATGTATTCGTCTCCGCACGCTTTAGATGAGTTCAAATAAACCGCACCCGAACTCATCCAATCATTATCTCTACCGTCAGGGAAGTTGTACAATTTTGCATTGTAGGTAAACCGTCATATAGGCGGTTGTAAGCTAGTTGACGCCTTAGAGTGCTCGGTAGTACTTCAGTTGCTGTTACCGAATTCCTTAGACCGGCTCTTCTCAAGTAACGTTTTATAGCTGCAACAATGCACCTATTCCGTTTGAGATGAAAAGCGGTACAAACGAAACCTTATTATAACTAGAGTTATCGTTTGGGGTATTGCATTTCCCTCTTTGCCTATACCGACGAGCCACAGTTTGGTAGAAATTGGAAATGGCTAACTGTTGCGCCACTTTCCGGGATCTTCCTTCTGCTCTCTTCCTGTGCACACATTGGTGGCTTTTCGAAACATGTCCTTACAAGCTTTCCATCTTCTTTGAAAGGGGTGAGAGGAGAGATAATAGACCAATATGATTTTTCTTCTTTTCTATCGGTACCATTTCGTAATGCAGCCGTTTTCGGACAGGTTAATTTGAACGTTCCTAAATGGAGGTCGGCTTTCCTCCGTTTTCTCTCGGGTAAACCTAATATACTCTGAATGTTCGTTCAACAACTCAAAACATTTGTCCATTTCCCTTTGTGTTAAGCAGATGACAGAGAAATCATCTATATATCTACAATAGAGTAATGACCAAAGATCGGTTACTGGTACTTCCTTATTAGACAAATTCAATGGCAACGCTTGGTGCCAGTCGATGCTGTCCCTTTGCCAACCCTCTGATTTGAGCGTAGTACTTTGCGGAACATCTGAACATTAAGAGAGCATTCTTTTAAAAGTGACATTAAATGCTGTATTTTGAAGGCATAAATGTTTATGGCTCCTTGGTGTTGTATAAGGATTTCGAGGATAGCTTCCATAGTGGGGTCATTCGGCACGTTTCTAAAAAGTCCGGTAACGTCAAAGGACTCCATCACCTACACGCTGTTAGGACGGGCGTAATGTAGACGATGCAGAAACATCTGGGTGTTCGTAAGATGTGCTGGAATGTGCTTTAACAAATGGGCAAGCATTAGGATAAAAAATCACGTTATTCCATTTGTTGCACCGCCTACATAGCTAATGATAGGCCTAACCTTGAAAAATGAAGGATCGATAGACACAAGATCATCGTTGGGTATTAAATTACAAGATATGATAAGTAAGTATAAAACGGTACGTGTCGGTAATTAAACTTTGAGTTGGAATATAACAAACGGTTTTAAACCAGCAGCCCTTGCCATCTTGACCCATTTATGATTCATTTCTTGGTATTGACTCTTGAACTCCTTCTCAGACGAAGGACGATAAAGTAAGGCATTTTCTACATGCTTTTCTTTATATAAAATTTAACCGGTAAGGAAATACTACTAGTTCCCCATTCTTTTTACTAACGGATATTCATACGTTTTTCAACTTTGCCAGCTCTCGCACCTCCCGCATACCGTATTTTTGCACTTCAGTGGTGTTGGAGCGGTATCTTTTCGAGCAATATTGATTATGGATTTCGAAAGCTTCTTTCGTAAACATCCGAATTTTGACATCAATATCGTTGGGCTCTCGTCGTCCAAAGAACGGTTGAGAAAATGGCGGTGGTGGTAATGGCCCGACTTCCTGTTTTTTACTCCTATTTAGTGCTACATCTCTAGCTTTCTTAAGGAGTCTATCTAGCTCCAAAAAGGTCCTGTTTATTCTGCTCTTCGTCTCAAATTAAATAAGTGCTATTACAAATGCTATTTATTACGTAGCTTAAGAAGAGCCGATCTAGGGAATTCGGTAACAGTAGTTGAAATACCACCGAGCACTCTAACTACCACGCTGACTAGTTCGCAACTGCTTATATGACCGTCTATGTACAATGCAAAATTGCATAACATGCCCTAATGGTAGAGGTGGTGATTGCATGAGTTCAGGTACGGTGTACCTTATCTCTCGTAAAGCGTGTGGGGACGAATACGTTGGCGGAACGGATAGACCATCTATGTTCATGTAGAAGAACATATTATCAGTAAATTTAAAGTGAAACGAATACTCTACCGGGCGCATAGAGGACACATGGATATAACGAGGAAGATTTTAAAGTTAACATTATCGCACAGCAATCGAAAAAATCAGGTAACAAAGCTCTCCAAGCGTTATACACGAATTCCAAGCATCCGAAGATGAACCGCAGGAAAGAATGCCTCATTATCACGCGTGATATTGGGCAGTGTATAGGCCTGTTGTTTTGATGGGAAGGGCACATTGCGCTTCCATGTGAATTCTGTGCGGTTGGTCTCCATGCGACATGCTCAGTGGAAGACTTATAGAAAGTGGTGAGTAAGCAATGAAGCTATTCTGTGTTTAATGTGATTGAAATCTTGGTCCAGCATTTTCTCTGTTTGGCTGTCGAAGTGTCTAGCTGGTTAGATTTCAGTCAGCTTGACCTTTCCAGGATCTAAAGAAGGCGAAATCCGGTGAAACGTCATCCTTAACGGAGTAAAGAATAAAGTTACACCTCGTGTTTTCTCAACAAGAGTATAAAGAATTATTGGTTCGATGCCGAGATGAATGTAAAGTTAGTTGTGGAAAATCCGCATTCTGTTGTTGACATCATGTTGCAAAATTCCCAATAAGTGGGAAGGAAAAAAGGTGTTTCTGCAAAGAAAAAAATGGCGTCATCTTCATGTAACCCAGCGAGGGCGTTCCCAGGTCAGCCACAGGCTGTCGCCAGGCATTGCGTATTTGAAGGAGATCTTCGGTCCTGATATGTGGTGATAGTAAAATTGTTGAAGAATGGAGCATTTGTTGCGCGGTAGCGATGCCTACCATTATTCGACAAAGAACAAAGCATCTGGTCGTGAGCGAACCTTGAGTAATGCACCCAGTATTCGATTTCATCAAGCGTCGTTAAAGGAAATTGAACAAACGGCCTATAGAATGACCTCTGATGGCCAACTGATGTATGAAGTCAGTGCTAGCATTCACCTAGACGAGTTCGCTAATAATTTGCGGACTTTGGAGGGATAGAAGGCATGATGAGCCCAGGACGCAGCATCCCCACTAACGTAAACGTGTGTTTTACTTAAAGGGCAGAACCAATATTTTGCGAACAATAAAGTAAGTTGAGGCGTACTAATGCACTTTGAGGACTGCGCTCTCTGAGTTGTCACCATACATATTATAGATATATCATTAAATATATTGATTGCACAGAATGTAAGGAACGCTTCGTACACCCACCAAAGCGCTAGCATTGAAAACAATTCCCATTACCGCTATTGGCAGTAATAGGTAGACGTTGAGCTTTCTCAAATAGAAGTACAAAGAGTGATCATGCACACGTGGCTCGTGATAGCACGCCGGCGCGAGTGGCCAAAATGCCTTCGACGACCAGACACTCATCTAAAATCATCACCTGAAGACGATATGAAAGCTTAATTAAGCAAGCATCATGATCACGTCGTCAAAAGATAGGATGCGATTAGTACCTCTCAATCTGTGAAAGTGGAATCCGATGTGAGAATTGCTTCATGGTCTTCTTCTAATACCTACTGTGGGAATGAAATATTTTATGAAATAATTGTGGAAATATCTTTGACAGTTTCACTAAAACTGAAATATGAATAGAGCGTTTTCTATTATAATGCTGAGATATTTGCAAAACTCTGGACCACAGGTGCTTGCAGTGGGGAACGAACGCGCCATTGTCCTTTCCGGGGAGTAACGCCTTCACCACCACACTATGCGGGTCCTTCGTTTCGCTTGTTTCTCAGCTAGTTCCATCGATCTTTTGCCATCAGCAATCACCCGTCAATGGGATTGATCTGGTGAGTCTAAATCGGCATTGAACCCAGTTAAGCTGAGGCTATAGTTATAATCACAATCTTAACCACTTCTATTTACTGCTTATTCTTTTTAACGGCAGGGTATTGATGATGGCGAAAGATCGATAAAACTAGCTGAGAGACAAGCGAAACGAAAGACCCGCATGGTGTGTGGTGGTGAACGAGTCACTTCCCGGAAAGGACAATAGCGCATTCGTTCCCCACCGCAAGGACCTGCGGTCCGGAGTTTTACAAATACCTCAGCATTATAATAGTTATATTTCGCAAAAATACTGTTTACCCTGCCGTTAAAAAGAATAGGTAGTAAATAAAGATGGTTAAGAGCGATTTCTATTAGAAAATTTGGTCTTAATTAATGTTTTGAGTTCTTAGAGAAAAAGAACACTAACTAACGTTTACGCTTCATTGCAGTGGTAATGTATAACCTGACTTCAAGTGCAGGTAAGAACTTTAATTAGCACAGTGGCTTATTAAAGAATTTTTGAGGAATGAGGTCTAATCTACTGATCACTTGTACCTGGGAAGAGTAGGGAGATTTCAAAGCGCTCACTCGATCCACCGATTTTTATCCCACGCTTTGCCGGGATAACTTGGACTTTTGTGGAAATCACATTAGAAATTTACATTTTTGAAAACTTTCTGTGTATGTGACTTTACGATATATTGCGAGCATTTATAATAGCAGTTACATACTTCCGTGTTAAAAGCGCATGTGAACAAAGTGGGAAAATTTTTCTGGGCTTGTTAAAAGCCTATAGCTTATTTTTACTGCAGACATTTTGTTCAAATTCTCTTATTAGAAAGAACCAATTTCAACAGATAGGCTCAATTTGCCCAATAATAAGTAAGCACGATAAAGCATAGATGTGAGTGAGCAAGTGCATCATTTTTAATTCAAAACGACTACGAATACAATACTGACGTGTTATTTTGCCCAATTGCACTCCTTCTATCGAAAACTCGCTTTATGCCTTCGAAATTAAAAAGTGCACATTTCATACAAAACTAATGCGGATGTGGAAAAATGCGGGAAGCAAGCTAGAAGCTTTAAGCAATCCCTGCACGATGCCTATGTATTGCTACTTGTTACATATGTGGCAAAAAATGTCACGTACTTCTCAACATCCATGACAAAGTGTTACTTAAATCTAAACGTCCTGAGGATTTTCGTCAGTCTCGCCTCAGTAGAACGAGCACTAGTGTTGAAAGTGGACAGTCGAAAATAATGAAACCCCAATTGCTCTGCGCGTAGCTAGAAAAGGGGCATACAAACATCCCGAATTATCCATGTAGGAATAGTGTCGGGTTTCTGATATAGACCACCCGAAATCAAACTCCCGCGAGGACCACTGAGAATACTGAAAGAAATAGCGCCCAGATTTGATACATTTGGCAGCAATTTCTATAACTGCGGTATTAAATTACACATAGCTTCCAGTTATCATTCCTTTTCAATCTTCTTGGATTCGATGTAGAGAAAGAATGAGTCGTATGAATATGGGATATCCTTATGATTAGTTTTTTTGGATAGAAAATGACGTCATTCAATGGCTCAGAATATTTTTAGAGAACTAATGGGTCGCTATAAATACTCTTATCAATCATCATCGATCCCCAATCTAATCTAGTTTCGACACTTCAATGGTTTGGTTTGTATTCTCATCTAGGCAGTATGCGTGCCTAACAGCGATGTGCGGCTACTATTAGCGTCACGCAAGCTGGTAGAAAAATTTTGAACCCGTTACTAGGCTGCACCATTCGAGCACCCAGTGGTTACCTTCGCCAAAGGTGATAAAAATAAGAGATGCCATACCTAAATCTTAAGGTCCTTTGCGTCCTTCGAGTAATGTTAACTCACTGTGAAGCTTCGATGCTCAGCGATAAGGATGAATGGAGACATTACTGGTGGCCGTCTGAATTGCCAAAAAATTGGCGAAGTAACAAGTGTCCACAGGTGACAACAGATTTTCGTGGCCATGTCATGCTTCACACTGATTTAAAAAAACAACTTGTTGCAACACTCTCAGCTGAATGACAAGGTAATAGTAATGCATCGACTAGGATTGTCTCACCTATGTTTGATACACGGTCAATCAAAAACGACAGGCACGCGTAGATACATTGACACACGTTTCCTTTCATGTTAAACTGGGCAATGTTCCACTAAAGTCTCTTACTGGGGTACTTCCAGAATTGCTTCTCAGCGCATGCGATTGTGGAGAAGACATTGGAGTCGCGCTTTCGTCAACATGGATGTGGCCTCCAACATCGACTATTTTGAAAACATGAGATTGCAAAGGATTAGATCATTAACCCGGTTTTGAGCTCACCTATGACAAGATCAAGGCATTCAATGTAAGCTTGAAGAAGTTATGCAAAGAAGACCATACTTTTTTTAGAAGATAATGGTTGGTAAAGTCAGTGCGATGACTGGCTCCAGCAGAAAGTCCGAAAATCAGCACATAACTTCAAATTGATTGATTTGAAGTAAACGAACAAAGAGAGAAAAACTGATTTAATCACTATGAATTAAGCCTGATAGGTAATTCAAAAGCATGCTCTGGACTTTAGTGGCAGAAATTCTCCACTAGAGAGTACCGCATGCCATATCCTAGTGAAACGAAGGGTTTAGCTTAACCGATACTGTTTTTTTTTTCCAATGTTCTCTTACAAAGGAGTGGATAGTAATCTACTTCACTAAAGATTCCTGCTCTCAAAAATATCTTCGCGACAGCTCAAAACAGCTGTATTTGAAAGTCAGCAAAAGGCTACTCTCTCTAGAAATCTTCAAAGTGATACACCGGCGAAAGTAAATGAGCAGCCCGCAATAACTACGAAGTCACAAAGTTCTGCAGGAAAGAGTTAAACGAAAACTTCAAGTAGGGAAGAAAACAAGCACTGGTTAAAGTTCTTAAGTTAAAGAACAGCATCTGCAACAGTTGACGAAATTTCGCAAATTACAAAATCAATGCGGTTGCCTTTCCGGCATGCAGATGATGGCATAGTGGAATACCTCCTCCAGAGCAGAAATGGTGAAGGTCATTCACTATTTTTGTTCGGGTGTTTTTGAAGCCCACGTCCGATTTCTTCACATAACCTTATACAGAATGGACACCTAGTGGTTATCCCTTACAAATACCTACATGCTATTCCTCTCATTTGGAATGGTGTAGAACCCTACACCGATGGGATTATACCTGGAAAATTTAAGAAATTACTGCTGGACCTCATTAATTCATTGGCTGGACTGTTCCAACATTACCTGGAAAAATACATAATTTCTGATCAACGAAAACCAACAGTACAGTGTCCTTGCACAGAAAGAAGAATCCGTACTGCATCGACAAATGTTGCCCAACCTGCCTTCTACCTATCGTCAACGAGCTCTTCACTAAAGTGGTACCATCAAAAGGGGTGGAAAACACTGGACAAGAGAGTGACATGCGTGCAAGCACTGTTTCGAGAAAGCTTCACTCTCGTGAACCGAAGCCATAGTGTAACAACAACAGCCAAAACAACGTTAGAGTATAAGAGACCTCTTCTTTTCACTATTCGACTTAAAATTAAGTTTATTGTAATCATTTGTGCATAACCGACACCAAATGATAGAAGCATATGGAACTGATGAAAGCGTTCCTTCACAGCATGCGTTTCTCGCAATAGAATTTTTTCTACTGGTAACAAAAGCACAATCGAAATGATGCATGCCGAAGAAATACTTCGTTTTGCAACACCGGCTTAACATATCCGCCTCGATGATGGTTTCTCGAGAACTGCCAGTAATTCTCGAGAACCAAACTGCTTTAAGACCTGTGAAAGAGATGTTTCTCCATTGTCTTAACGAATAAAAGGATAATGCTTTTGTTACATTGTTTATTTTAGGATAGCTAACATTTCGGTACGCTTTGCTTTCTTTGGAGAGGGAAAAGAAGTTAAGAGGCCATCTAGTCAGCAAAGTACCACAAACGCCTAGGACATGAACGTATAGCGGAGAAGATTTTGAAGTATAATTCACTGTCCTCGCACAGAGCTTTGAAATATCAGTGTGCAAAACACTCAAAACATTTTAGAAAATCTAAAGACAAACCGCATGGTAGAACATCTTTCCGCTATGCCCGATCTCACACAATGTCTCAACCTGACTTTTTAACTTGAAAGAGGAACATTATCCATCCATGTAAACTCGGTGCGGTTGGTAACCATTACTAAGTGGAAGACCTAACAAAAACGGTGAGTATCGAATCCTCTTGTATTCATAAAAGTATTTGGCTGAGTGGATTGCTCATCATCTTTACTCCTCCAAGCTTTGAAAAAGACGAATCCAGCTTAAATTTAGCTAGCGTGTAATAAATATTGCAGTAACAATCTCGTGATTATAACCTTTTTATTTATTACCTACTATAATTTTTAACGGCAGGGTTTCATGTGAAATACAACTAGAACAGGAGAAATGAAAGACCCGCATGGTGTGGTGATGAACGCATTACTCCCCGGAAAGGACAATAGCGCGCTCGTTCACCACTGCAAGCACCTGTGGTCCAGAGTTTTGCAAATATC